GAGAAACAAAGGAAGCTCAATACTGCATATCATGTACCTATTCTGATTAGGAATGAGGAATGCTCTCCACAAGATTTATTGCTATTACCTCCCATCACATGCTCATATGTACACACAGATATACACAGGTCTCCTCACTTTCTCTTAAACTTCTGACAGGAAAATGGGACCTGGAAATCATTCCACAGTGACAGCCTTCATCTTGGCTGGACTCTCAAACCAGCCCAGTCTCCAGGTGCTGCTGTTTGTCCTCTTCCTACAAATCTACATATTCACAGTGGTTGGCAATGCGGGCATGATGACACTAATTGGAGTCAGTGCTCACCTGCACACACCCATGTACTATTTCCTCAGTAATCTGTCCTTTATTGACCTCTGCCATTCTACTACTATTACCTCCAAAATGCTGGTGAACTTTTTGAAAGAGAAAAATGTCATCTCCTACCCTGAATGCATGGCTCAGCTCTACTTCTCTTTTTTTGCTATTGCAGAGTGTCACATGTTGGCTGCAATGGCCTATGACCGCTATGTTGCCATCTGTAACCCTTTACTTTACAATGTAGTCATGTCTCATCACCTCTGCTTCTGGCTAACAGTGGGAATTTATGCTATGGGTATCATGGGGTCTTCAATTCACATGGGCTTCATGTTGAGACTTGTTTTGTGCAAAACCAATATTAACCACTACTTTTGTGATCTCTTTCCACTCTTGGAGCTGTCCTGCTCCAGCATCTACATCAATGAATTGCTGATTCTTTTCTTAAGTGCATTAAACATATTGGCTCCTACCCTGACTGTTCTTACTTCCTACATCTTCATCATTGCCAGCATCCTGCGCATTCGCTCCACTGAGGGCAGACACAAAGCCTTCAGCACCTGCAGCTCTCATATCTCAGCCGTGGCTGTCTTCTTCGGTTCTGCTACATTTGTGTACTTACAGCCAACATCAGTCAGCTCAATGGGCCAAGGGAAAGTGTCATCTGTGTTTTATACTGCTATAGTGCCCATGTTGAATCCATTAATCTATAGTCTGAGAAATAAGGATGTCAAATCTGCCCTGAAGATAATTCTGGACAGGAGAGTACATTCATGAACAGAATCCATGTTTTTTTCTTTGTACACAGAAATAA